ATGATCATGTGGTTGATCATAAGCTACACTTATGCTTGTTAGATGATATTATCTTACTTATCCTTATATGATCATTCACTTTGCTTGGTGATGAGTGCATGTATTAACTTCTTATCATTTTGAGCGCTCCACCAAGATGTATGTGACATGGAAGAGTAACCCATCATCCTAACTCATTGTGCATTTGCAGTCCAAAGCAAATCTTAAGATATGCACAAATTTAGGGGGATCTCTTGCTTTTCACATACTTCTCAAAGCGACAATATCTTTCACTCTTATTATCATTTGTCGAGGCTTTGATCTATATGTTGTCATCAATTACCAAAAAGGGGAAGATTGAAAGTGCAACTATCCCTGGGTGGTTTTGGTAATTCCTAACAACATATAGCTCATTGAGCTAACATTATTCCAAGATTACTATTTCAGGAAAAGCTCAATGAATGGCATGGCATGGATGAGGAAAGTGGATCCCTCAAAATTCTAAGGACAAAAAGTTTGGCTCAAGCTTGAAGCTCAAGACTCTACATTTTATATTTTAGTGATCCAAGATCACATTGAGTCTATAGGAAAAGCCAATACTATCAAGGAGGGATGAGGTGTTGCTTAATGGCTTGCTTGCTCAAAATGCTTAGTGATATGCTCCAAAATCCTCAACTACCTTCCCACATCCACATATGACCTAAACCAAAAGTCAAACTCGGCCCCACTGATTCTTTCTATCCGGCACCACCGAGTTTCAAATGTCATAGCCACTGCCACAAACCCTAGGCAAATCGGTCTCACTGATAGGGATCTTGGTCTCACCGAGATGGGATTGTAATCTCTCTGTTTCCCTTCATAACGTTTCGGTCTTACCGAGATGAGCGATCGGTCCCACCGAGATTGCAATGTAAACTCTCTGTTTTCCTTTTGTAACATTTCGGTCTCACCAAGATGAGCGAATCGGTCCCACCGAGTTTACCTGACCAACTCTCTGGTTAGCTTATTACCAAAATCGGTCCCACCGAGTTTGTGTAATCGGTCACACCGAGATTACGTTATGCCCTAACCCTAACCATATCGGTCCTACCGAGTTGCATCTCAGTCCCACCGAAAATCCTAACGTTCACTAGGTTTGCTGAATTGGTCCGACCGAGTTTAACCATTCGGTCTCACCGAGTTTGACAAATTGTGTGTAACGGTTAGATTTTGTGTGGAGGCTATACATACCCCTCCACCCACTCTTCATTCGTGGAGAGAGCCATCAGAACATACCTACACTTCCAATACACATTTTCTGAGAGAGAACCACCTACACTTGTGTTGAGGTCAAGATATTCCATTCCAACCATATAAATCTTGATCTCTAGCCTTCCCCAAGTTGCTTTCCACTCAAATCTTCTTTCCACCAAATCCAAATCCTGTGAGAGAGAGTTGAGTGTTGGGGAGACTATCATTTGAAGCACAAGAGCAAGGAGTTCATCATCAACACACCATTTGTTACTTCTTGGAGAGTGGTGTCTCCTAGATTGGCTAGGTGTCACTTGGGAGCCTCCGACAAGATTATGGAGTTGAACCAAGGAGTTTGTAAGGGCAAGGAGATCGCCTACTTCATGAAGATCTACCGCTAGTGAGGCAAGTCCTTCGTGGGCGACGGTCGTGATGGAATAGACAAGGTTGCTTCTTCGTGGACCCTTCGTGGGTGGAGTCCTCCGTGGACTCGCGCAACCGTTACCCTCCGTGGGTTGAAGTCTCCATCAACGTGGATGTACGATAGCACCACCTATCGGAACCACGACAAAAACATCCGTGTCTCCAATTGCGTTTGAATCCTCCAAACCCTTCCCTTTACATTCTTGCAAGTTGCATGCTTTACTTTCCGCTGCTCATATACTCTTTTGCATGCTTGCTTGAATTATGTGGAGATTGCTTGACTTGTGCTAAGATAGCTAAAATCTGCCAAGAACTAAAATTGGGAAAAGGCTAGATTTTTATTTGGTCAAGTAGTCTAATCACCCCCCCCCTCTAGACATACTTTCGATCCTATAGTCTGGGTCTTTGAATACTCACGATTCGGCCTGGGGCTTATCTCGAGGGCGCCGTTCTGGGCTGCTATCGACGTCCCATGCAGAGCTATCCGCCAGGGAAGTCTTTCCCTTCTTGGACGCCTCCGCTTCCAAATCTGTGGAGGCCGCCCTCTTCTTTCCCCCCTCGGGGAGGGGGAAGTTTTCTTCTTCCTCTTCCTCCTCCTCGTCGTCTTCGGCGGCGGAGTGAGTTTCAGCGTCTTCGGACGCCCCGTCCGAAGTACCCTTGGGACGGAGGCCACCTCTAGTCCCCTTGGCCTTCTTCTTGGCCTTCTTCTCCGGCGCCTTGTAGGGTGCCGGAACCAGCATCTTCGTCAAACACGGGATGGCTGGATCCTCGAGCAGTGGATCCAGACACTGAATCCGCTCCGCCTTCTTCGTCCAACCCTGAAAAAACAAATGGGGAAGTTCGAACACCCTCCTTGAATAAGCAAGTAAGGAATACACCTTGAAACAACGTAAAACCTATCAAACTGGCGGGATGGGCCAGGTCGTGCCCACGGTCGTCGGTTGTCTTCGGCCATGTCTCGTTGGCCTTGAAGAGCACCTTCCAGATATCTTCGTGTGTAGTTCCGAAGAACCATTGCAGGGTCTTGTGCTCGGCCGGATCGAACTTCCATAGGTGGCAAGCCCGGCTCTGGCATGGAAGGATCCGAAGAACTAGCATCACCTGAATTACATCAACAAGCTTGACGTTCTTGTCCATCATGCTCCTGATGCGTGTCTGGAGCGCTGTCAGCTCATCCGACAAAGACCAATCCAAGACCTTCTCTTGCCAGGAGGTAAGCCGCATTAGGGCCTCGGATTTGAATTCGGGAGCCGCGGCCCAGGTAGTGTCGCGGGGCTCTGTGATGTAGAACCACAATTTCTGCCACCCCTTGACGGTCTCCAAGAAGGTGCCTTTGGGCCATGGGACGTTGGACATTTTGCTCACCATAGCGCCTCCGCACTCGGCATGTTCGCCGCCCACCACCTTCGGCTTCACATTGAAGGTCTTCAGCCATAGTTCGAAGTGGGGGTGTGGAGGAAGGCCTCACACACGACGATGAACGCTGAGATAGTGAGGAAGGAATTTGGGGCCAGGTCATGGAAATCTAGCCCATAGTAGAACATGAGTCCGCGGACGAAGGGATGGAGTGGAAATCCTAGCCCGCAGACAAAGTGAGGGATGAAAACTACCCTCTCATGGGACTCCGGGGTAGGGACGATTTGTCCCTCAGTCGGAAGCCGATGGGCGACCTCCTTGGCCAAATATCCAGCCTCCCGAAGTTGGGTGATGTCCTTCTCCTTGACGGTGGAGGCCATCCACTTGCCCTGTGCTCCGGACATGGTTGGAGTGCTTTCTTGGGGGAGGAAAGATGAGAACTTGAGCGCTGGAGCTCGAGAGTGGGTAGGCGGAAAGAGAGAAGGCGTGGGTGGAAGAGATGAATCCTTATCTCCTTATAAAGGCAGTGAATATTAAACGTCTCCTCACTCGTCATAAAACTCGCCTATTCCCCAGGGGCCGTGCAGGCGGCACAGTTGGATTACCCATACCCGTATTGATGAGAATCCCGCAATAAGGGGACATGATCTCTACTTTTGACGAGACGTGCCAATAAAAACGCATCTCAAAATATGGAGCGGCAGGCCGAAAAACGGTTCGAAACAATAACTGCGCAAGGACGTGATATCACGTCACAAAAAGTTGTCAGCAGATTGGACTCGTGAAATATTATACTCTCTGCAGTGGTGTGTGTTTTGCAGATCCGGACACGTTCTTTGTGTTCAAAGACTGTGTTGGAGTATTCGGAGGAGGAACCCGCCTTGCAATGCCGAAGACAATCTGCGCGCCGGACACCTCGTCATTGAAGCCTAGTTCAGGGGCTACCGAGGGAGTCCTGGACTAAGGGGTCCTTGGGCGTCCGGCCTGTTGGACATGGGCCGGACTGTTGGGCCATGAAGATACAAGATCGAAGACTCTCATCCGTGTCCGGATGGGACTCTCCTTGGCGTGGATGGCAAGTTTGATGTTCGGATATGAAGATTCCTTTCTTTGTAACCGACTTTGTATAATCCTAGTCCCCTCCGGTGTCTATATAAACCGCAGGGTTTAGTCCATGGAGACAATCATAATCATATAGGCTAGACCTCTAGGGTTTTAGCCATTATGATCTTGAGGTAGATCAACTCTTGTAATACTCATATTCATCAAGGTCAATCAAGCAGGAAGTAGGGTATTACCTCCATAGAGAGGGCCCGAACCTGGGTAAACATTGTGTCCCATGTCTTCTGTTACCATCGACCTCAGACGCACAGTTCGGGACCCCCTACCCGAGATCCTCCGGTTTTGACACCGACACCCGCACCTTCTTGATCGTGGGTGGTAGTTCCTTGACAGCGAGGCGGTGGCAGCAAGAATGGCACATCGATGCAACCGCAGGGACTGCGTGGCGGGGACGCATGCTCATCCTTGATGCAGTGTCCGATCTGGATGCCACGATGGTGCGGGGGTGAGGCTGACTGCTCCTTGACGCGGCGTCCAATCTGGACGCCGTGGTTCTGCCGGGGGCGAGGCCGACTCCTCCTTCACCGACAAGAGTGTGGACGCCTGCTTGGTCTTGATGCGGCAGCGCGGAGGGGAGGCCGGCTCCTCCTTCACGCGCGCCAACAACGACGGTGACGGCCCCATATCACGAAGCGACCACTCCATCAATAACTCGAGGAGTCAGGGCGAAATCTTCGTCCGCCAGAGCGGCCTCCTTGAGGAGTCGGGGCGGCTGCGGCGGTGGCTTCTGCGGCTGCGGCGGCGGCGCCTGCTCCTCCTCGTCACCGTAGGAGACGACGATCTCCTTGGTGGAGGAGCCGGCTGCCGTGGACGCTGACGGGCCCGGAGGGCGTCTGCGGCGACGCCAAGACCCGCCGGAGGAGGAGCTTCTGCCTACTCCGCCTGCCGGCATGGAGCACCACGACTTCGGCATTGCCGCAACTTGGGTCGAAGAGGGGGAGGGGTCGGTGCTCGGGGAGGGGGTGGCGCATCTCTATGCAACTCCAACACACTGCTTAAATAGCCGCGACGAGGACAAGGCGAAGCCGGTTAGTCGCTTCAATGCGGCGCAGCGACAGGAGTTGGTTCCTCGGGAACTTGCGTCCGCATTGAAGCGGCGACTGTCGAGAGGTCGCGTCGGTCGGCGCCGCCCTCCCTCCTTCCCTCCGGTCCTATCGCAACATCAATGTTGGCCTCCACGTGCTCTGGGCCGGCATGAATGGGGCGCGGTAAGCGGTGCGTGCATCAGAAGGAAAGCGCGGGAGGGGCGGGTGACGGGTTTTTGATGGGTCGGGGCGGTCAGAAGCGGGATTGGGATCAACCCAGACTCCCGCAAACCTCCCCACATTTGTCTCCGGTTTGCGGGAGAAATCGTGTCCGGACAGCTCCACGGACCGATACAAGTCAGCGTTGGATGGCTTCCGCTGTTCGGGCAATGCGGTTCGAACGGTTGCGAGATGTTTACGAGTCCGCCTTGAAGATGCCCTTAGCGCTTCATGAAATATGTCGAAAATGCAATGAATGTTGTCCAATTTAAACAAAAATCAACCAGTTTGCATTGAAATCGTTCGATTTGTTCAAATCTGGTTTGAAGTGAATATGAGCATAGTTAGATGACCGGCTCCCGCATAACTGTCCACAGACAAGTTCGAAGGCATCGGCGGACAAATACAATGTCCATTTACGGGTCAGGGTTAGAGATGTGGTAAATACGTAAATTCCGGAGCGGCAGCGGTAAGCTTGGCGGGCACGGGCAGCACGGGGAAGGGATCCAAATTCCAGGCAGCCAATAAATTCCCGACGCGGCACAACTCCAAAACCCCGTGAGTCCACGAGTCTGACCGAGTTGAAGTCTATGGTGTGGTGTGCTGTGGTGATGCGGCGCCGTTCCCCTCCTCCTCTGGCAAGCACACACGCGCTGACGCTGGTGCCGTGGCGTTCCGTTCCAGCCTGCAGAATGGAGCAGCATCCAGCTGTATGCACTCCACTACGGGCAGAGCCAGACCGTCCTCTCGGCGAGTCCAGAACCTGGTGTCTGAAAAACAGTGGATCCATCGTTACAAGTTAGCAACCCCACTTGATTTTGTTTTTACTTCATGAGTACGTAGTTAGCACTCAAAATCATCAAAGTGGAACGACTCAAACCCGAATTGGCTATCGCGTGGTTCGGCACGCAACAGGAGGGAGATGCATCATAATGCTGGCTGGCTGGCAACAAGTTAATAAGGTTAAAAGGGAATGGAACAGTGAGGCGCCACAGCGTCATGTTGGAGCTACAAAAGGAAAGGCGGAGGTGGAGCTCCTTTGGTAGCAAGGAACGCGCACGGCACGGTCATGAATCAGAATGAAAAAGTGGCTGCCTTACGCGATAAGATTGCGCTACAGCTTAACGCGCAAAAATGCATCCCAGTCCCAGATCAAGCAGCGATGAGAATGAGATGGCTAGAAAAGAGTATGCCTACTCCGTTGAACACTCGTATAATCTGCTTCACCTACATTTACTCATAACCTGACCAAGGCCCTACGCTGCACTACTTGAATCAATTACGGAAACGTTTTGTCAGTAGTATATTAGTATTTGAACAGCATTTCATTTCCGACACTCAAGTTTCACGTGATTGCTGCAGTGCGGTGCAGAGATCGCGCGGGTGGATGCCTACAAAATTCCTGCGCCCGTTCCATATTAAACGACCCCGTCGAATGCCCTGAAATTATCTATCCCTTTGTTTATCTCAGACAAGAACAATAATGCTATATTTTTTGCGAATTAATACTACTACTACTAGTGACGACAGGTGATTTTGATAAACAAACAGGAGAGAACTCTGACAGAGATATGGGCGACCATAAACAAAGACGAAACAATTAAAACCGCTTCTGTTCTTTCTTTGGAATTGAAGAATCTTCTCAAGATGGTTTGGAAACAAAAACAGGTTTTGCCTAGGGTACAAACTTTTGCGTGGAGGCTTCTTAGAAGGGCTTTGCCTACAGGTTTGCGAGCTAGTCGATTCTCTGTGCATATATCTAAAAACTGTTGTAGGTGCGGCCATCAGGAGGATGAATCCCATTTATTTTTTCTTTGTCCCTTTGCTCGTGCGGCTTGGTTTGACTATCCTTGGTTTATTAGGTCTGATGTTTTAATCCAAGGTCATACTTCCATGCATTCTATCCTTATTGCCTTGCTTCAAATGGGACATCCTAATGGTTCTATCTCTAACATTCTTAATTTCTTATGGTGTCTTTGGAAGGCTAGAAATGATTTTCTTTTTGACAGGAAAAAGGCTCTTCCTCATCATGTGCACATTGCTACTATGGCCTTGTCCTCTGATTCTTATAATGACTTGCCTCGTTTCTCTAAGATGCAGGTGATGCCACAAGTTCTTTCTCCTCCTGATCATCTTCCTATACAGGGTCGAACTCTTAAGTCGGATTTGCTCATTACGGGGACCAAAAAATTTTCTGACGCTGCTTTCAAAAGTTCAAAAGTTCCTGGTCTATTATATGGAGCAGTTGCTACTGGAATAGGGGTCTATCTTGTTTTGCCTCAAGATCGTTTTGAAATCAATGTGCAAATTTAAGCATCAGCTCCTCCCACTACTTCTCCTCTACATGCAGAAGCTCTGGCTCTTTCTTTTGCAGCTCAAGTGGCTAGTAAGCTCAATATTTGGCAGCCAACCTTTCTCATGGATTGTTTCTCTTTATCTTTGGTGGCTGCTACCGGCAAGATTATGGAATCTACCACCCCTTGGAGCATCAGGAAGCCTTTGGCTGATTTCTTCAAGCATGTTAACAGCTTGCAACCTCGAGTGTTTCACATTTCTTGGGAAATTAATGGCATAGCACACAATGTAGCTCACCAGGTTCTTCATTCTAGGGTTGAACCTTAAGTTTGTTGCTTCGCTTCAGCTCATAGACATAGTTCCTGTCCTGTGCTGTCTCTTCTCTCAAATTTTCAGGTTCAGGAGTTTGTAATTCACGTTGTACACTGTTTCTGAGATGAAATGAATTTGGCGCTTCGAGCGCCTTTTGTTGTTCAAAAAAAAAAAACGCTTCTCCTTCCTAAGCCCAAACGAACGACCATGGTCAAACAAGAAAACGAAAACAGTTCTCCATCTCGTACTACGCACCCATCGCTTTCGCCGGACCCAACACAACACAGCGATACCAGTGCCAGTACTTTTGTTAAGCAAACGGCCAAAGCACCCGGTCCCTAATACACTCCCCCACACTAAATCCCTCCTCCCCACTTCAGCTCGTCCCCCGCGCACGCCGAAAACCCACCCTTCCGTTCCCATTCCAAGCCGGCGGCGGCGCCGGCATTGCGGGAGGTGGTGGTAGGGGATCTGTGGGATCGGGAGGGCCGGCGGGGGGCGGGATGAGCATGTACGGGAGGGACCCGTGGGGCGGCCCGCTCGAGATATGCCACGACTCGGCCACGGACGACGACCGGAGCCGGAACCTCGACCTCGACAGGGCGGCGCTCTCGCGGACGCTCGACGAGACGCAGCAGAGCTGGCTGCTCGCGGGGCCCGGCGACCAGGGCCGCAAGAAGAAGAGGTACGTCGACCTCGGATGCCTCCTCGTCAGCCGCAAGCTCTTCCTCTGGACGCTCGGCCTGCTCCTCGCCGCCGCCGCGCTCGCGGGGATCGCCGTGGGGATAGCCAAGGCCGTCCCCAGGCACCAGGCCCCGCCCACGCCGCCGGACCAGTTCACCCTCGCGCTGCGCAAGGCGCTCATGTTCTTCAATGCCCAGAAATGTCAGTGCCCCTCTGCTGTCTTCTGCCCTTCATTTTCGGTTTCAAAGATTAGGTTTTGAATTGATGCTTTTCGACCCAGTGGATGTTCTTTTGGTTCTGATTTAAGGCGTGAGCTGCGCCGAACCGCAAATGCGAGATTCCCTTTCTTTATGCGGTGTTTCTGGTGGTTTTCTAGATGCAAATTCATCATTTGGGTATTCTTATGCCTTAGCTTAGTTTTATCTGTTTTTCTGTACCTCAATGGGGGAGGACAGTTGCCCTTAAACCCTCCCCACCCACCAGATCCATTCTGAAGATTTTGAAGAATTATCCTCCCAATTAAAAATATATTTTATTTGATTGATCTGTTTGCTCTGAATTTTTTTTCATCTGTTTATTCTGCAAAATTTCTGCAGCCGGGAAGCTGCCGAAGCACAACAATGTACCATGGCGCGGCGACTCGTGCCTCAAGGACGGACGCTCGGACCAAACATCCCGGCGAGACCTCTCTGGTGGCTACTATGACGGCGGAAGCGCTGTGAAATTCAACTTCGCATCTGCCTTCTCCATGACCCTCCTCAGCTGGAGCGTCATCGAGTACAATGCTAAGTACGAGGCTGCCGGGGAACTTGGCCATGTCCGTGACACAATTAAGTGGGGGGCCGACTACCTATTGAAGACCTTCAACTCCACGGCACATTCCATTGATCGCTTGGTTGCGCAGGTAAAAAGCAACTCTGGATATGCATACATGGACACAAAGTTCCTGCCACTCGTTCATTCCTAATGTGAATTTTGTTTGAGGGCGCAGGTGGGTGGTGCTGCAATGTCAGACGGTCCGAGTCAGCCCAATGATCATTATTGTTGGATGAGGCCAGAGGACATCGACTACCCACTTCCAGTCACCGAGTGCCACACTTGCCCTGATCTTGGTGCTGAGATGGCCGCAGCATTGGCCGCAGCATCCATTGTGTTCAAGGATAACAGGGCTTACTCCCACAAGCTGTTACACGGTGCTACCACCGTCTGGGACTTTGCAAGGAAGGGAGGTAGTCGTCAAACATATAGTGTACCCCGGTCAGATGCTGCAAAGTTCTACAATTCAACCGCTTATTGGGATGAATATATTTGGGGCGGTTCGTGGATGTACCTCGCAACTGGCAATTCATCATACCTGCAGTTCGCAACGGATACCAAGCTTGCAAAGAATGCTCACATTTACTCTCGTCCCCCCAACTATGGGGTGTTCAGCTGGGATAATAAGCTCCCTGGTGCACAGGTAATGTATTAGCGTATCTTGGTTTCGTTTAATTCTCAAGACATTCCCCATGCTGACCCATTGGCATTTTAGTTTGCATGATACTCCCTTCCTAAACTAATATAGAAGTGTTTGGATTACTACTTTAGTGATCTAAACGCTCTTATATTAGTTTATAGAGGGAATACTAATGTAAGATGTTTTTGACACTTCTCCCTCCGTTCCGAATTACTTGTCGCAGGTATGGATGTATCTAGATGTATTTTAGTTCTAGATACATCCATTTCTGAGTAATTTGGAACGGAGGGAATACACTAGAGTCAAAAACCGTCTGACCGTCAGGTTATAGTACTATTGGGACCAAATTTCTTTATAATATCTCACCCAGTTTACCTGCAGTACTAGTAAAGCGTGTGGTCAACTTGTCCTACCATGTGATAAGCATTAATGCTGACTAAGTACAGGGCACTTACGATTGTAGCACAAAAGGTTTCCTGCTTGGTGGATATACCAAGGATTCTGTTGAAACCATGTCAGTGTTATCATGTTTTCATCTTCTGTACTTTGGAATTCTTATCCTTGAAAAGGATAGCCATAATGAAAACAGCCTTCAGCATGGAACCTACATTTTGGATTACCTAGTTGAGAAATTTGTTATTCGCAGAATCTGATGTTTATGCTTGTAAAGAACCATGTGACAATCCAAGCAAACCACTGTCAGTTAGCTATACAGTAGGATTTCATAAAAAACACTATACAACATGTTTCAGTTTAGGTGTCATACAGCATGTTAGCGTTGCTTTGTAGGAGAATTTAGGGCTAAGTTTTTGTATTACCATGTGCCCTAGCTTGCAAAATAAAAGTTATATTAATAACTAATATGACTTACCTTTACTTATTTTGCATTGTTTGGCGTTCCAGGTTCTTCTGAGCCGGTTAAGGCTCTTCTTGAGTCCTGGGTATCCGTATGAAGAGATGTTAAGGACATACCACAATCAAACCAGCATCATCATGTGCTCTTACCTTCCAAATTTTAGATCTTTCAACAGAACAAAAGGTTTGAACTCGCAACTTGCTAAAAACAAATACATGATCACCTATTGAATTCATTGGACAGTTTACTGAATTATCTTGCATTACAGGTGGTTTGATACAGTTGAATCACGGGCAGCCACAACCACTCCAGTATGTAGTCAATGCTGCATTCCTTGCTTCTCTGTTCAGTGACTATCTTGAGGCTGCAGATACCCCTGGGTGGTATTGTGGCCCCCATTTCTACTCCATCGAGGTTCTTCGCAGTTTTGCAAGGACTCAGGTAGGTTTCTATCATTTGAATATCTGAACATATTTTTGATCTGGTATAATAGTAATCTGCGTGCCTGGTTCTAACTCACTACATGTGTGTCAGATGGAGTACATCTTGGGCAAAAATCCTTTGAAGATGAGCTATGTGGTCGGGTACGGAAAGCATTACCCCAAGCGTGTTCATCACCGTGGTGCGTCGATCCCGAAGAAGAAAGGTGTTCACCCTGGCTGCAAAGGGGGTTGGACATGGAGGGACACCAAGAAGCCCAACCCTCACATCATTGTTGGAGCCATGGTGGCCGGCCCTGATCGCCATGACGGCTTCAAAGACATCCGGAAGAACCGCAACTACACAGAACCAACCCTAGCGGGCAACGCTGGTCTAGTCGCAGCATTGGTAGCTTTATCGGGTGAAGGACATGGAGTGGACAAGAACACCATGTTCTCTGCTGTGCCGCCAATGTTCCCTTCGCCCCCGCCGCCTCCAGCACCATGGAAGCCATAATGGCTGGGTGTTTAGAATAGAACAGTGGAGACGACGACATAACCGTTTATTTTTATTTATTTTAGTGTAGTATCATCACCATGCCATGTTGTTTGCTATGCAAGGACTATGTTGAACGAAATGCATAATGACCTAAGTTAGTACTAGTAGTTTTCCCTCGTGTACCTGTAGCTGTGGGAAGTGGGCTCATATATATGTCTGACACCATTGTCGTCTTGAAGCAGCGAGAGGATGCACAACTATTGCCTCTGATCTATATCTGTACTTTGTAGACATCAAATTTATAATCCACAATAGAAAAAACGTGCTTCACATCACAAAACTGAAGTAAATTTGCCCGTTGCAAGTTCAGTTTTAAAACCACTACATATCCATAGCATTCATGCCCTGAGGCAACCACTTGTGTCCACATCCCTGACGGGGATTTGGATCATTTGCCCCACTTTACATGGGGTGATGATTTGCCTCATTGTTGTGTCAATGGTTAGGGTTATCAAAGTTAGAAGTAAACTAGGGCAAAAGATGGGGATTTGGATCATTTGCCCCAATTTATATGGGGTGATGATTTGCCTCATTGTTGTGTCAATGGTTAGGGTTATCAAAGTAGAAGTAAACTAGGGCAAAAGATTCAATTTCTTCATCCCTGGCCTGGACAAGACCACTCAGATCAAATTCATGTTGGCGAAGCCATACCACCCCCACTTCAGCGTCATGAGGTGCTTCATGTTCTTGGTCATGCGGGTGCTCGTTTCTGTCTCGGGTGCGCGCTCCGCCCACTCTGGAGCGTGGCGATGACCGATAGTTTGTACATTGTCTCTGTTAAGATAACTACTACTCCCTCCGTTTTTAAATATAAGCGATTTTAATATGAACTACACACGGATTATATAGATTCACTCATTTTGCTCCATATGTAGTCCATATTTAAATCTTTAAAAGGTCTTATATTTCAGAACGGAGGGAATATGAGTTAGTGTTGTCATTAGCATGAAGCAACATTGAGTATTTAGTGCTTAGTGCTAGAATATAGAAGGACCAAGTCCTCTCTTGATTATGGATGATCGACTTATTTGTAACTGATGTTGTAACTCAAGCTGCATGTTTAAAACTTCCCCCGTCTCAAAATAAATGTTGCTTATTTATTACAAAGTTGTACTATAATGACACTTATTTTTAGATGGAAGGAGTATATAAAGAGAGCTCTCCAGTGAGGTTCATCATGGCTTAAACAACAACATTAAGAATTTTGAATGGTATCAGAGCGCCCACTTCAGGACAATGCGCAACACCGGAGGCCGCACCGAAATAACAAAGGGCACTTAACCATGGAGGAAATATCAGGTGCTCCTATGATACAAGCTCACATCGGTTGCTGAATCTACGAGTGGAGCTTCTCGACTTATGCGTAATTACTAGACTCCTAGTTTTTTCTAGGAAATTTGCCAGAGCTCCTCAGATGACTGTCGGATCTCAAATCCAATGTCGAGCTCACAAGGAAGCGTGGGAGGCTAGGGAGCACATGACATTTCCCCTCGGACCACAAAACCACGGCCCAAGGGAATGGGAAAAAGAAATGGTACCGCTCCACTGGCCGTTGATACAGATCACATCTTGCGCGTACACGACGACATATGTCGCCACCCGTTCCAACGTTACATCGCACGTCGCGCACTCTTTGAGCTCAGCTAGTTCGTTCCTCTAGGCTTGGCTCCAATATCCACACCTGACAACTACTCGACTCACATCATCCCATATCGGTTGTACACGCGAGCTACCGATCGACGTTAACAGGTCATGATATCATCTTCCCACGCTCCGATCCCATCTTCTCCAAGACTCTCGCGTATGCGGCCATGGCAAACGACCCATATGATCTCCAAAGCTGAGCCAACTTTGACGTCTCCTCCCACAGACACGCCCACGTTTTCCTCAGCCCCTCCTCCTCGACGTTGGACAAGCCGGTGTTGTCCTTTCTCTGCCTCGCCGCCAGCTCGTCCCCTGCACAGTTCCTCCCTGGCTTCATCCTCCCGTCCATCCTCCTCCAAGGACCGTCTCTCTCTAATTTTTATATCAATTTTTTAATTGTTACACTCTAGCGTCTCTGTCTAATTTGCACGCAATCTCTGTAACAACAACTTCCGTGCTTGTTAGAGAAACTCTAACAGATGTGTCGTATCAACCCAATCGCCATAATAACCACCCATATGGCAAACATGGTCAAATAGGGCGGTCTATCACAGTCACCATACGCCCCTCAGACCACATAATATTTGGAGGCCACTCCAAATGGAGCATGTGAGCCTCCATATTTGAAGGTTAGGGGACGCCGATATGGAGTGACCTTCAAACACACTATTCATGCAGGAGGGAAGTTTCAGCCCAACATCTTTCTCATGCGCCTAGCCCGTTGGAGTGGTTGTTTGGACCAGGTGAGGAATGCACCTCCAAGTGGTGTCATAATTGATGACTATGTGAGTTTGTTGAACATATTTGTGACTTTGTTTGCTTTGATAACAATTTGAGCTCACACTTGCCTCTATTCCAATTGTAGGATCGCATTGCACATGAAAGGTTCAAGCAAATGGATCAAGAAGCTCCACCAAAGAAAGGTGCACTAGTTAACTTGGAAGACAATGATGATAGTGATGATGCACCAAAGGGGGGGACAAGAACAAGCCCGGTGGAAGAAAGTTGGACAAGGATAGGGTGAACAGGTCGGCTGAAGCATCTAGCTTGAGGAAGCAAGTTAGTGAAATGGTGAAGGTCAAGGAAACCATGTTGGAGAAGCCTCTGGAAACCAATGTAGCATTGGCCGAGAAGAAGAGCCAACAAAAGGAGGCAAATTGGGAGAGGAGATGTGTCTTCGAGGAGCGCAAGATCACTCTTGAGGAGCAAAAGAGGAGTAGCGAGAAGACCGCCGAGGAGTACCCGTTCTTGATTATGAGTCTGAATGGCATGGAACCAATGACAAGGGAGTTTTCGGAGTTGAAAAGAATGAAGATCATGTTTCAGAGGAGGCAAGAGCTTCAATATCTTATGGCTGGTGGTGCTGGTTTCGGCAATGGAGGTGGTGATGGTGGTTGGTGGTTCGGCAATGTTGGTGGCGGTGCTTTCGGCAATGGAGGTGGTGGTGGTGCTTTTGGCAATGGAGGTGGTGGTGGTGGCGGCAATGGAGATGGTGGTGGTGATGCTTCAGCCAATGAAGGTGGTGATGCTTCGGCCGATGGACTTGGTGGTGCTTCCGCCAATGGTGGTGATGATTCTTCGACCAATGTTGTTGACGAAGATGGTGCTATGGCCGATGGTGGAGGAGATGATCTTGGCAACCATGGTGTTGCTTGATTTGATCGTGTTTAATTGTGTTTGATTGCACATTCTTTTGGACAAACTTGTTGCCTCTTGTATTGCGCATGTATTTGGATGTGAGTCATTATCGTACAAGTATTTAAATCGGTGTATTGCATGATTATACAAATTTGTAGTCGATGTAAATATGAAAATCAAAACTGGTTTGCAAGGGCTCCAACGAAACAGATCCCATAAACTCGTACTGTAAATCAGTTTCGCCGGAGCCCTCACCGTACCGCAAATCAGTTTTCGGGTGAACCTTAAAACGGTTTTGCGGGACGCCTATTTGCGGGATCTACTAGATAATTAGGATTCTTGATCCCTCTCAATCTCTCTTCAATTCAAGGATCCAAGACGTGCTTTCATAGTCATCTCAGAATATTTGCCATGCTCTAACCAAAGGAAAAACATAGAAATTTAGAGGACGGGGTATCTACAGGAAAGTTTCCTACGGGGTTTCTATGGAATGGGCTATTTCATAAGAATTTTCCTTATCTTTCTGCCTACAATTCATGTATTTCCTGCTGTGACACCCCAATGATAATTTTGCAGTTCTGTATGAATCCAGGATGCATGACGACATCTCACTTTCTGAGTTTTTCCTATCTCTACGTTTTGAGTTCTTGGGCCCTACTTTGTTATGCGTTCAGGCAGTGACCAGGAAACCGCAGACTGGTTTCAGGTAGTCTGCTGTTAAGCCCTTCATTTTGCATCTCGTGCCCATTTCAAAGTTCAAACGCTGATGAAACACAAGTTTCAAAACCAATTGGTGTTTCGGTACACTATATATTCAAAAGAGGATTTGGTTTGCATGGAAAAAGAAAACCTATAGAAAAGAGGGAACGATCATATTCTTACACACAAACAAACAACAGTAAGTCAACCGAGTTGTACAAAAGAGCACAAGATATTATGAAACTACTCACTAAACAGAAACTAGATTGAATAGTGCAGATTTATGCATCTGCATCAGAGTCCAAAAGGATTACAAAGTTTCTGATCTGGCTTTCGTTAGTACAAAAAAATAGACGTCCAAATGGCCGCACGGGACAACTCAAAGCTATATTCCTCATGTATACGTCATTGTATTTAAAGGCTAAATAAATAGAAGGGAAGATGGAGAACAAATGGTGAATCAAAGGCAAAATCCTAACATCAAACCTAGAATCTGAACTCGCTATTCCAGATTGGTAAGCTAAGCCAAAACTATATGCTGGGTGGTTCTTTTTGACAAGTTACTTCCAAGCTGTTTCTGCCTATGATGAAGATGCAACCTCAATGGCACTACCAAGGGGCCATGCTGCTTCCACAAACGAACTGCCGTAACGCACCTTCTTTACTAACGTAATATCTTGATAGGGATCCACACCTGAAAGAATATGGGCGGAAAAAAATAAGAAATATGTCGAAAGCTTCTAAGTTATTGCGATTTTGTCCTGTGCACTAAGTCATACCAAATCCATCCACAAGTAATGTGTGCTGGTAAACAAGATCCATGCAAAGGAATGGAATGTCTTCCTCCGAAACATCAGGATAGGTGGCATGTGCCTCCTTCACATTCAATTTACAAACACGTCGTGCAGCTTCTTCAAAGTCTGATGGTTTAACCTTAGCAACTGCTGCCTTCGGGTTTACAAAACCAGCCTGATGAGACAATGAGATAATAATTAAATGTGTACGTGACAAGAGCAAGCAAGTCAACAGAAACCAGCATCAGAACAATCAGAAAAGTTTAGACGTCAATTTATGGCAGAGGAAAGACTGATGGTTTAGGGATTCCTGACATGCAGGATTTAGATATCTGCTTGATTGCCTGTTGGCTACCTGGGTGGTAAATATTTTTTGGAGAACTGTTTGATTTCAACAAATAAGGGCTTTAGGGCAGGTTGGTAATGGTAGAGGATCATATGGCATTGTCATGGTAGCAAGTAGCAACAAAGGATTTTAGATGGCAGGTTGGCAATGGTGGCAATGTTCACTTCCGGGATGGTAACTGGTTTAGGAGCTGCAGTTTAGCAATGCAATGTTGGGATCCATTCATTATTTCTCATGAGCAGGATGGTTAGCCCATGTCTCTGGTGGATCAAAATCTGAATTTGGTTTTCGGAAGATGTTTTGATTATTGCTCCTTGAACCTCAGGTTTGAACTGTTAAAGATTGAGTCTTTTAGGGGTTGTTTGGATACCTAGATTTTAGAGAACCAGTTATGTATATACTCGTTCCAGGGTCTAACAAACTAAAACTCTGTTTGGGTAATCTAACTAATCCTCGGATAAGCAAAACTTGGTTCTCGTAATACCCGAAATATGAGTTTTTGGAAAAATGGGTCCAACAACGTTTTTGGTAAAATGCGTTTTAGAAATACAGGTTCGGCGTGCATGGAGCTCCGTTGAGAAGGTCTTCCACCACGAGGCCGGCGCCAGCGCCGACGTGGGGCGCCTGACTTGTGGCATCGAGAGCCGCAATGGGCAGCGGTGCCGAGTGGAGCGGCGAGAGCGGCGACGGACGGCGGTGCCGAGTGGAGGGTCGAAAACAGCGACGGACGGCGGTGCCGAGTGGAGTGGCGAGGCGGCGACTGCAATGTGTACAACCAAGCTGCATGCCGGCGACAGCGACATTGTAGTCTTCACCAACGATGCGACGATGTCGGTCTTCCTCAAGGTCCTGGACGTCTTGCATGGAGGACTGGCAGGCAACGCGCGCGAGCCAGCTCCGCTTCGCCCGCAAGCACCTCTCTGAGCCACGCGGCCTCCAGCGTTGAGGCGACGAGGGAAACACCCGCGCCGGCGTCCGTGCATGAAGTCATGGAGGCCGGCCCGAGCGGACCAGCCGCGTCTAGGATTGAGGATGGAGTTGTGGACTCTTGAGGCTGGAGCTTGGGAAGGTCGTCAATGGCAAATTAATTTGGTAAAATTGAGAGAGAAGGTCACGGAAGAATCGCATCAAGGCCAACCATACACCATCCAAACGTGTTTTTCTATATACTAGTTTTTAACAAAATAGTTGGTAAAACCGATTTTGCTAAAAAGCGGCTAAAAACTCGTTTACTATATCCCCGTGGCTTATATCTCCTATCCAAACAACCACTTAGTGAGGAACCTAACTGCATGTTTTGGAACTTAGAATGCTAGGGTGTAGGGTCTGAGTTCTTTGTAGGCTGTCAAACTTTGGGCTGTATGGTCAATATACCCCAACTCCTGTCATTTGGCAATCGTGCATTCCACCATTTATTCTGATCTTTTAAGCAAAAAAAAAAATTTGCTGCCACAGATAAACTAAGCAAGGTGCAAAATGTATGCGATAAAATATAACTTATTGTAATGAACCTGAGACGGTACACCGTTTCTTCAAACGTGTCGTGGTTCAAGACTATTGGGGTTTCAACTCTCAATTTGTTGGCATCACAGTATTGGTCAAGATTTTGAATGTCTCGGTGGCGGTTAAGTGAGAATAATCAGTGTGTGCTAAATATCGTCTGTGCTGCAGCCTGCGGCATAATGGTTTTTATAGAAACTAAGTAGTGCAGTTCTTTTTCAGGGAACTGTCTGGTTAGACTAGACTACTTAGATGGCCGAGACCCTGCTATGGTGGTGCTGAATTTGCAATGACCTGTTGTGGCTTCAGATCACCCGCTGTACTGAAAGACTGGAGACTGGAGAGTGAGTCAAAGGAACTACAAAGGATAGCCTGGAGCGAACTGGAACGTGAAGGCTTTGATGGATGTTTGGTGCTGAAATATCCTTTATCTAAGAAGAGAAACAATTGCTGAGTGTGGGACTGCTTGGTTTCATCAATCCAATGGAGGCATGACAAAAAACCCATTTGCCCGAGAATTTTTTTTTGTCAAAATTCAAAAAGACTTACCTGGGCAGCCCTGTCATAGAAAAATGATGCTACAAAAAGATTTTTCTGTCCATCTCCACCACCACCATTCCACACGCCACCAAATGTGCATTTCATGTGAGTGCATGCCGGTTCATCAACTTTAAGAGCTCTGACTGCAACAGCCCTGCACTTGGAATAAGTAGCACCAGATGATGAACCTGAGGCCTCAAATGTATCATCACCATATTGGTATTTCCCTACAATTCAATGTAAATTGCAATTAAAACCCGTCACTGTCGTACAGAATCATAAGGGTAAAATCTGACATGAGCAATTAGCACGTTGAATTCAAGGGTAACTTTCATTATGGGAAAACTGGAACATGCATACACACTAAAGACTCTGCCTACTGAGAAGAATAGGATAGTATAGCAAACATGCTTTTATTAATGCCTCCATTATACAGCATAATGTAAATATTTATTAAAACTTGACTGCATGCAAATTTCCACATGATGAAATATAGTGTTGCTTATTTCAGAATAAGGTACAAAACCTTGCATAGGATAGAACGATGTTCATGAAAAAGAAAAACACCTTAGTTTTAAAATTGGCATCCGTCGTTATGATGCTGCCACAATTTCAGTATATTCACATGAAGTTCATTTTAAGTTCTAGAAAGGTAATAACAAGGAAAAGATGAATCAGTTTTAAACATATGGGTGTTGGGCTCGGAAGATAAAGCAAAACCAAGCGGACATACCATGATATCCATCCAACATGCAGTTGCTGTAATCACTGTTTTCACCGGCTTTTAAGATCTCTGCTCTAGCCGCCAGCAAACCGTAATGCAAATAACTGCAGAAAATAATGGCACTTATGTGAATGGTACATACCCATCTTATTTAGATGGAAAAGAAATACTGTGATATCTGTTCAAATAGTCGATGATCACAATGCAGTAAATGATATGTTCTATATGAGAGTGGTGACAGGCAGAATGGGTTGAAGGACACATGGAGCGACCTCCATGACAAAACATTACAGGATATTAAATTTCATTATCCTGTTCAAACTAAACAATTTAAAGTAACATTCGGGCACCTCCAAAGCCGACCCGCAAACCTCCCGCATGCGTCCGGACCGCACTGTCCGGACAGCGGAAGCCATCCAACGCGGGCCTGTATCTGTCCGTGGAGCGGTCCGGACGTGATTTCTCCCGCAATCTGGAGACAAACGTGGGGGGGCTTTGCGGGAGTCCGGACCGCTCCCAAGCCCTCTTCTCACCGCCCTGGCCCACCAAAAACCCCACCCCCCTCCCACGCGTTTTTGGTCAGCGCCACTCCAGAGCGTCAGCGCCCACATTCATGCCCTGCCAGAGCGGACACGACCGCTCACTGGCGCCGGCATTGAAGTGGCGCACCAGCCGAGAGAGCGCCGGCCGCGCCGCTTCCCGGTGCAGGCGATTGCCGCGCGTTCAAACGACACGATGGCCGCCCGTCCGTCTGTCTGCCGCCCACATTGATGGCACACAGTTACCGAGGCGTCTCCTCCGGCGCCACCCGCCCGTCCCTCTGCCGCCCACCATTGCTATATGAGAAAATTGCAAATGAGCAATGACCAAGCTTGTCAATGGTAAATAAGCAATTGTCTCTTGCTATATAAACCGATGCCCCGGCCATAGCCGCAGTCAGGTCGCAACTTTGCAAGATTGACTGGGACATGCAGGCGGCGAACCACGACAGATTGAGTAGTTTCCACTCAACTATAGTTCACTTCTACTAATGCAAGTGACGGAGTAAAAGAATAAGATGGGCCACTGGGTCAGCCCAAACGTGCACCTTACCTGTGTGATACATCTGCAGTCGTCACTGTCTGGTACCAACATCTAAAGGACAATTATGTATGACCTAAGAGTCCAAACTCCAAATCCAAAATATTTGTAGGTCATTCCTACTGGAGGAATCATAACTATGCAGCATAAAGATTGATTCCACAAAATTTACACCACTAATAACAGGTTCTAGATATAACTGGTGTAGTATCTTGGTCAGAAAAATAATACGACAAAAACGTTCAATGATCCTTGGACATTTGGAGTTTGGGCTACAACCACTTATTTGATGCATACCTGTGAACATAAAGATAATATGTTGTTCCCTTAAGTACCAGCTTCTTCACATATGAATCTTCGCCATCTGAAACTTGAGGAGCCTTTGCTGCATCCTTTTCTGAGATAGCATAAGCCATTTGGACAGAACCACCACCTAAGTCAACCACTCCAACAGTGTGTGAGTAAGGCTTTCCCAATTTCTCCAACAGATAGTTGATGGTAACCTATAAAAGCCAAAGAAACATCCAAGTTGATATATAAGAAAACATTCATGTTGTTTCTTAATGGTAAAGGTTACAAAAGAGCAACAAATGGTAAGTTTCTCTTTACTTCCATCTAGACTAAACATTTTTTTTGGAGTGCATACACAAATTGGGACTGCATCTATCGTACCCACGCGAATGCACCTTCCTGAGATCCATCTAGAACAGAGACCCAATCTGGTTCGGATTTGAAAGAACTCTTGTCACGAAGGAGATCCCTAACCTGGTATCAAGAATAACCCAAGCGACATATTAATTAAGAATATAAAATGATACTATGATGAAACATGATATAATCCAATCTTGATAGAATGACAGGTACAAGACACACTATTGCTGGATTAATACAAGGAGAATACTTACCGCTTGCAAAATTTCTTCAGACCTTTCAGCTCCTAATGCTCTGAGACCTGCGGTGGCCTGCATAAGGGTTCAACAATAAAAAATCACCAGAAAACCCTTTATGAAAGTCTGTAGATAGCAAAAAAGCCATTACTCACCCCAACCCTGACAGGTGTTTGCTCACGCAATTCTACAGGAACTACTTTTTCAGCTTCCTCAAGAAGAGAAACAAGTGACTCGGCAGCCTCCTGAGGATCCTTGGCATAAGAACTCAAGCCTGGTTTTTTCTGAAATGGAAAAGGGATGAGCATTCAGATAAATTGTATTTTCCCCTCTCTTTTTTCCGTGGAAAATTCTTCTTTTCTATTCAAGTATATTACAGAGTGGCATGAGCATTCATGGATTGTCAGATCATTTTATGTCTAGGACAAAACAAACATCTTTCTCTCTTAATATCCATGAAACTCCTACTGAATTTGACGCATAAACATTTTCGAGTGAAGATAAGCCTTACCAAGGTAGTAAGCTAGTGCATTTTCGAGAAGTGAAGATAAGCCTTACCAAGGTAGTAAGCTAGTGCTGCATACTTGTCTAGGATGTATCTTGGACAATGATAATCAATTACTACATTTTACGTTTGAAGTTTCATAGTTTGTCAAATCATTTTGTGCCTGGGAAGAAACAAGCATCTTTCTCTGCAAGGTCCATCAAAATCCTAATGAACTTAATGCATAAATCCAGTGCTGACAAGCCTTACCAAAGTAGTAAGCTAGCGCTGCATACTTCTCTGGCCAAGAAGAGGCCGTAGCTTTGACAATGATAATCAATAAATGAATAAATAATGTTTTAAGTTCGAAGTAAGTTTTTCTCCAGTATAAATAACTCAGCACAAACGCCTTAGATTGATTGACTGACGACCAACCTGGGTTCTATAACTGATAAAAGGGCAAGATTGCCCGTACTTCATAGCAGTTTTTTTCAATTTGCAACTGAATGGTTCTACAGTTTAACAAATTCATATATATTGTTTCTAGAATATCATCCGGGCAAAAGGCAGGTAGAACATCCATTTTTCAAATATTTCAGGAAATACCAGCTAGTTCTGCTTGATATATATGCAGCATTCCATGGTTCATGCGACTGCAGAAGAATAATAGGCATGACCATCCATAAGGTTGACAACTACGAAATAATTGATTGCTTTAGATAAACAAACTGGACCAGGTTATTGAGTTTATCGGGTAGGCATCAAATACAAACAGCCGGTAGTACATCTATGTTCCGACAAACATGAGCCAATCATAAGTCAAAGGGCTCAAATTTCCTTCATAGTTGCACACATGAAATGGATTGGTTGTCAACTTGTCATGAACTGATGAGTGTGCCACCCTAGCATGCCAAATGCATTCATGCAACTAGCATCACTGGCGCTACTTACTCTTAATGTCTTTACAACAAACCACCAATGTATATATCGAATTCAATTGTACAATATTTTTTTCTAATTGTGGGGGTACAAGATAGTACGTTCATGGGTCCAATGGTCTACTCAGTGCTGCCATACAGCAATATCCGCATCAAGTGTCGCAAATCACGACTCAACTCAATAGTATGCACTAGTTATTCGTCCAGACTAAGTTGATTCTGTTTGCTCTCGCATGTGCATGTTTTGCAGGAATGGAACAATCTCATTCCAAACATCAACCCAGAAACAACCATCCCAACGAAAGCTCTCGCATAAGATCACAACAAGAGCAGATCCAGCCAACAACGCCAGCACATTTCGTTATTAAAGATAAGCAGAACCAAAAAAAAAAACACAACAAGTCACCTGCTTGAACACCTCGATCGCATTCCCTATAGGAACAAGATCCAGGCTCTCGTCGAAGCAGTACACGTGCACGCGGCTCCCGGAGCTTCCGGCGTCAAATATCACCGCATACCTGTTCGATCCGTCACCAACTCCGCCGACGGCCTGGGGTCCCCACCTCCTGCCTCCAGTGGCGAGGAGCACACCGGAGGCCCCGCCAGTGACGGAGGCCGGGGAACGCGGCATGAGGAGGAGCACGAAGGAGACGAGGAGCACCGGCGAGAGCACCACCATCAGCACCCCGCGGTAGCGGTGCAGGCGGTCGGAGACGGCCTCCCCTTGCTGCTGGCGCGCGCCGGCGGCCGAGAAGCGGCGCATCCTGGCGGCCGCCGCAGTAGCCGCAGCGGCATCGGCGGCGGAGGGGCCAACGGTGAGGTCATCAACGGGGAGCAGATCGGCCGCGGAGGGCGAGCGGTAGCGAATGCGGCCGTTGGTCGGGGAAGGCTTGAGCGCCTCCTGCTGCGACGGCTCCAGGGCGTCGGACGGGGAGGCCGCGCGCGGCCTTGCACGGGGTCTGGGTGAGGTGGGGGTGAGCGACGCCAATTGGCGCGCGGGATCTCTCCGCCGCGGCTCACAGCGACCGCTGGGTTTGACCCCGGGGCGGCATTGAGATCGGAGGGGGGCGAACTGGTGACTTGGGTGATGATGAATTCGCTGCGCTCGATTGGAGAGGGGAGCGAGGAGAAGGGAGGGGGGGAACCCGGTGTGGTTAGTTTGGTTTACCGGTGAAGCCGTGACCGGAAATACGACGAGGGCCCAGAGCACGGCATCCGACGGCTGAGATTGAGGCAGTCAGGTCAGATGGTTCGATCTCAGCCACTGGATGTTGTCTCTGCACTTGGGTTCAGCCTCAGCCATTGGATCATAGTTACCCGATTTGCGATTCACGGTTCGCTGGGTTCGGATTCGCGGTCCGTCGTACATCTCTAGTTCGGTGGGGGTATACATCTCTAGTTCGTGAATCGGCCAACTGATTCGTGAATCATGGACAATAACCCGGATTCGTGGACAATAACCCGGATTCGTGAATTTGATAATTTCGATTCATGAATTCGGTGTAAGCAAACAAATTTATATGAGGTCCAGATAAGCAATTTGATTACATGACTAGGAATATATGCATAAAGACATAAGGATTCTATTTTCATAGTTTAACAAAAAATGTATTTAGAAAAATACTAGTATTACATTGGTTGACTCTTCATGCATAGGAAGCCCTTAATGAGCACTTGAATCAGAAATGTGGCCATGGTTGAGGTAGTCGACTCTTCTCTGTCGTGTCCGTGGAGATCATCTCGATTGGTTTGTTGTTGTGAAGTTGAAATTGTGGTGACGGGTCCGGTGGCGTATGATGGTGGGTAACAGGTGGTTTGTTCGATGATCTTTCCCGGCGCGAGTGCCTGGTTCTCGTTCGTGGTTCTCCGCCAGAGTCGGAGCTGCGTTGTCTAGTCACAATGGCTGAGTCTAGTGTAGATCTTTATACATCTCCACATGGGCACTAAAGCGTGGGTTGGGTCGACGATTGCCTACGGCGAAGTCAGAGTCGTCTGCTTAGGATTTAGGGAAGACGATGACGCCTCTAGGGGAGGAGTGATAACGATGACGCATGTGTGATGTCTCGACGAAGCCCTCTTTGGAGTGATGTGGGTGGGTATCTTATGTGTGCCGCTTAGCGGTTGTGATGGTTTTAGCCGATTCTCCATACTTAACTTGGTAATCAGATTTTCGCTCGATTTTGCCCATACACACAATCAAGTTTGGAACTTAGTAGGCTCTCTAGAAGGTGCTAAATGTTACAAATGTAAATGGATCTATAATGATACGCGGATGAAATTGTTTACAACCATAAAGCTCAACTTGTTGCAAAGTATTTTTGACAAGTTAAAGGAGTTGACTTTGGCGAGATCATCTCGCCATAGTGATGCTTAACCCAGTTCAGATTATTCTATCAGGTGTTACACATTTCGATTATTAGATGTGGCAGATGACCGTCAAAACGGATTTCCTCAATGAACATTTAATCGAGGATATACACATGATACAACCCGAAGGTTTGACGATGCTAAGGATGCTATACGTTATGCAAACTTCATAGGGTCAAAAGCAATCATAAAGGAGTTAGAATCTTTGTTTTGATAAAATAGTCAAAAAGTTTGACTTCATCAAGAATGGGGAAGGTGCTTGTGTTTGCCAGAAAGCAAGTGAGAGTTCGATAACATTTCTAATACTTTATATGGATGACATAACGTTGCTTGGAAATAAAATGAATTTCTTGACACGAAATAGGAATTCATTGTAGATAGTTTTTCGATGAAGAACTTGGGCTAGAAACATACTGTAACGCCCGGATAATTAGGCTATAGTAAAACTCTTCTAATGATGCCATGTCATCAGTGTTACTGTTGCTAACAAAGTGGTAGTTCAAAATCATTGCTAATTCAAAATATGAATTAGTGACAAACACCCTAAGTTTTCAAAAGTCAAAGCGAAAATGTTCGGGGGTTGCCAAATATTGCACTGGTAATTATGGTGAAGCAAACACCATTTTATAAAATGCCTAAATGCCCTAAAACTAAATAAAACAGAAAGGGAAAATAAATAAAAGAAAGAAATTACAAAAAAACAAAAAAAAGGGGGGGAAGCCCCCTGGACCAGGCAGCCCAACCCACCCGCACGGCCACCGCCCAACCCCCCTGGCCTGCAGCCAGCCTGGCCGGCCCAGCCAGCCCAGCTCCTCGCCCCGCACCCCTCCCTTCCTGTTCCTCGGACGCGCGCCGCTACAGGGCGCGGTCGCCACCGGACCCGCTCGCCGGCGACGGGGGAGGATAAGGCCGCCACGGCCCCCTCTCGGCCTCGTCAGATCCCCCTCCCCCCCGCAGATATTTTCTCCGCCCCTCCGGATC